ACAAACGGTACAATGGGAAAAAAAAGAGTGAATGTAAAATAAAGACAATTTAAGACAATTTGTTCTATGGTCATCTTAAACTGAAAATACAATAAGACAGAGTCACTGAAACACTTTTTTACTGTAGAAAATAATTACAAATATTGTACTTTTTTTCTATCTACATTTATCTTATACTGGTTCCTTAATGATTTAAATAAATAGCAAAAATACTATCCAAAAAAGAAATCATGTCAAAATAAGTCAACTTTATTGTCAATCTTCTGTGTGATACAGATACAGAATGCTGTTTCTCACAATCCACAATAATATACACATACATAATCAGATAGACACATACTGTATATACACTGCATATGCACACACTAAGAGGCATACATAAAAGGCACAACAGTCAATATATACAAAATAACATTCACTTCAAAACCGATGAGGATGAATATACAACAGTAAACATATGTACAATAGGGCAAATGACTGTAGCAGGGTATAGAAAAGTGTATTGTGCTAGATGTGTGTGTCTGTCTCTGTGTGTATGTGTGGGTGCTACAATCCAGGCCCAGTTGGGGCAGGGGGAAGAGGTGGGAGGGAGGGGAGAGGGTTCAGCATCCTAACAGCCTGGTGGAACAGTTTTTGAGTCTGGAGGAAATCGACTGGAGGCTGCGGAACCTCAGGAGGCTGAAGAGGCAGTTGGAGGGATGGGAGGGTTCACCCACAGTGCTGGGTGCTTTGCGGGTGAGGCAGGTGTTTTAAATGTCCACACTGCAGGGTATTACAGTTGGAGACGGTGCAGCTACCAAACCACACAGTGGTGCTGCTGAGGATGCTCTCGATGGTGCCTCTGTAGAACATACAGTACATATTATTATGTTAGGATACATTTTATTAATCCCTTGATTTATTTGTATGCCATCAACCTGCCAGGGTTGGCCGATAACAATTTGCCTCTAAATCTGGCACATTTACATGATGGGCTCAAGTGCTCTTAACACATTGTACCATCTTACATGCATAAATACAAACTTCACAAGCTACCCTGCCACTTTAGATATTAAATAGAATCCTCCTTTACAAGCAGCTACAAACACCGAAGTGATGAACACACTAATGAACCAATCACTAAAATCCAAAAACACTCAAATATATTTGTATGAAATAAGCCATTGCGCTATTTAGTTCTCTTGTTTTTGGTACTTTAATAATTTGTTGATACTGTCCCCAGAAGTATGATTTGAGTGGATGGACTTTTACTTATAACATGGTATTTCTACTCTTTGTTATTGCTTAAGTAAAACATAACTATCCACCAGTGATTATAGAACGACAGTCTTCTGCTGACAGGAAATATAAATGTGTGTCCTTGCTATCGATGATAACTGTGTCCCTCCAGAGGAGGGCAGTGTACCACAGCTCCTGTGTAACTCTGGCACACTCCACACACTGAGGACCCCCCCCCCCCCCTGTGGTGAACGTTGGATGGCAAACCTGCTTTCAAGCATCATCTTGAGTTATTACAGACATCAGGAGGAACAGTGACGCGGCGGCTGTTATCACTTTCATATCCCCTGGCTGTTGTCGACTGGATGTGGTTTATACTCTCCTTCTAAGTGTTCCTGTGATTGTCACTTCTTCAATGCACAGATGTTGTGTTGTCTTGAGTAGTCATTGCTTACCAAACGACAACCAGAAGTAAACATTTCAACAATTATCCTGCTTTTGGAATACAACCCCCCCCCCCCTTTTTTTAGCCCATTTATGTAAGCAGATTCATGCACTACCTAGCCAGACAGGTAATTGAGAGCATATTGAGCAGCTCGACTCCTCTCTATGAGATGCAGCATTGATGAATAAATAATGGTATGTCCTTTCAAATGCATCTTTGAACAGTGCTGAAGTTTTTAACACCCCATGAAACCTGGAGACAGCTAGCCCAGACTATAAACCACTTATTCTCGCTGTCTTTCTCCCTCAACACCCCCACACCCCCTTCTTTTCTCTCTCAGGCAAATTGCCCCCCACTGGGTCTCCTTTCATCAGGGTGACGTTTCAGTGAGAAGCAGACACAAAGGTCTCATACACACAAAACTTACATAGAAGCATGCATAGAGCAGACGCTGCACTTTTGTTCCTCGAGGGCCAATTTTTTGGGTAATGACCCCAGCTGCTCCCTCCAAAAACCCATTCATTTGTGCCTTCATGAGCACATTTGTCATATTAAGGAGTGAAATATGGGACTAAAAGGGTTACAAATCCTGGCTGCATCTATGAAAAACAGCTGAACTGTGTTGCATAAGCGTTGACATTGACAAGTAGCAGCCATTCAGATGAGTGGGTGAATCATATATCATTGTTACGCATACAGCTTGAGCTTCAACCCCGGCCTACAAAAACACCGTCCCAAATCCTATCACAGCCATGAGAGGTGATCGCAGCTCCGAGGAGAGAGACACTGCACGACACTGTTTGATATATGGCTCTGTTCGCTCAATGTCCTCACATCATTACAGAAATATTGCCCTGAAAACACATTTATCAAAAGCATCAAATCTAGTTTCTTCCCCCAACATAATACAACCATTATTTGTATACAAAGGGCTAGAGTTAAACAATCTCCACATAAATAATTACTTATTCTGTCAGGTAAGACAGACGTGTGGGAACACAGCGTTCCAGGTTATTGCTTTGACACATAAAAAGCCTTTCTAATGATGCAATCCGAGGTCGTTTTTTAGTAATAAGTGTTTGGATGTTGGTGTACCTTTTAATGTTTTATACGGCAGGAGGATTTGGAGCCATCATATCCAGATTGTCATTAGTACATCAGAAGGAAATAACAAAGTCAGGTCGTCTGACCCCCATTTGGTCCTCAGACTTATGTCTCCATTGCAGAGCTAGGTACAAGAGCTTTATAAATGCAGATGCCTCTGACTGGAGCCTTCTGCAAATGGATCTAAATTGCAAAATGCCAATGTAAGTGCATTTATTTGTTGCATACACTGTGTTATCTGACTTGGATGGCTAAACATTGTCCTTGAAAAATAGATTTGTGTTCGCGATTACCACTTTTATAACAAATGCAAGCAAAAATGAACTGCCAAAAGTATTCAATATAACCTAAATAAGTCAAACGTAACCAAATAGCCTGAATAACAATATAATACTTAAAGAACATATATAATCACAAAGTATTATAAACAATTACTTGTTTTATTAAAATAATTATTTTTAGTTGGTTTGATATGGTTTTCAGTTTTTACAGTGATTTCGTCATCGGGGACCGCCCCTCGTTCACTCATTCAGCCAATCACACGTGTCCTGTGCCTCCCAACGCAACAAACAACTACCATGCAGCTAGCTTGTCAAACATGAGCTACAACAACCACACAAGTACTATGGCTGTGTCCAAACCATGGTCCAAACTCATTCTCAAAACGAGACTAGTGAATGAGTGAAAGAGGGAGTGGTTTCGGATAGTCTGTGTGTTTTTGCTCTTCACAGAGTGTTTGTCTTACTCTTGAAAACTCGTTCACGGCGCTGCAAAGGTAAACCTGAATTGACCGTCTAGCTAGCTGCCACTGCTATCACCGCTCTTCATTTGAATGCTGAGTTATAAATCTACGCTAACCTAGCTAGTGAGCTGGCTAGTTAGGTAGCATTCATAGCTAACTGTTAGGATTAATTAAAAAGACGTTAGTTATTTTACTGCTTTGTAATGTGTTTAACTACAGCTAAATGTTGAGGAGGCTGGAAAGTGATTGGCTGAAAGGTGAGTGGGCGGGCACTATTTCATTCAAATAGACTGGGAATAAGGCTGACTATGACATAATTATGAAAATAAACTATAAGAAATAATACTTTATTGAATCAA